TAACTGAAATGTTGACAATTTTTCTCAATTCATTCGATCTTTACAGAGATTGATTGAAAGAAAACATAATCAACTACAGAATTATTGAATAAATTGAATTATTTAATGATCGCTTGATACCGAAAACGCAGGATCTCTGACAGTGACTCTGAAGAGAAAAATCAATCTTCATTTATGGAATATCCAAAATGGAGGATTAGCTACACTTTGATTGTTTCGATTTTTTGATAATAAAAATGAAATCTTATTTCGATCAATAATCGATTTCAATCGTTTCCAAATATTGGAGAGAAGAATTTTTTCAAATATTTTGAAACCAAATCCATTGATTAGTCCATCGAATATCGAGAATCCAAACCAAAGACCCAATACACTTCCAGCATAAATCAGATATTCTATCAAAGGAAATGCAGAATATGCTATGATACTATGAATCGGTTCTGTTGGCGCCAAAAGAGAGAAAATGTGGATATTCGAGCTATCGTTACGTTTCAATGCTTCTTTTTTGAGAATCTCTAATTCTTTGGAATTCTCTTTGATAGTTAGGGAATAAGTTATACGTTCGCACTGAGGATTTTTATTTTTCTCTACACAGGGATTGTTTACTCTATCGAGAAACGCATTATTGAAAGTTTTATTCTCATTTGGTGATGATTTTTTCGCAAGAGATAACAGATAAGCATTCACTGTATCATTGAATTCTTTTGAATAAATATTGAATATACAAATTTGGCGGCTTTTCCTCCGGTCATAATTGCGGCAGTTCGTTTCATAAGGATATGCTAATGATTTGACCAGAGTTTTCTTATATTTTAGGTAGTGAGCTGATGTTTTGCCATAAATAGTTGCATATTCCTCCTCGAATTGACTTGGCATTAGGTTTCGATTGCTTAAGCGAATGCCAAAAGGCGCTTTGAAATTGAATTTAATAGATGCATAAGCGGCACCTTCAAGAAGCTCAATTCGCTCGAGTGTCAATATTTTACCCCTCTTTTTACACGAAAATCGTACGTAAACTGCAGAGGAATCAAGATGCACGCTCGATTCACATAGACCATTTTTCTTTAAGTCAATAGATTTCTCAATATTCCACAGAATTGAATAGTCAAAATTTTCCATTGTAAATTGATTAACGATGTCACCATAGGTTAAGAAATAAATTATCACTGGATTCCAATATAATGCCTCAGCGATCGCTATCGAGCATTTTTCAATCATTGGCAATCTCTTATCAAGCCAAGTATCATTTTTAGCATTGAATCGTTGATCTAACTCAGCCATTTCAACCGGGTGACGATAGCATAACTCAGTCGAGTTCATGAAAGTAGTAAGCGGTATTCTTATATCGATAGCTGGTAACTCGACTGTGTCCGAATATTCAAATGTTACATCATTTCGAACTTTGAAATCTAAAAAGTCAGAAGTTATCACGTATAAGTGAGCCAAACACCCAAGCAAACAAATCGATTTAATAAGAATTCGTCTAGAGAATATGTTTTTCATTCTGAATCAGAATTTTCCAATTATAATTAAAAACTAAAAGTGTGAAAATTATTTTGCTGTTTTTAACAATTGCAATAGTTTCACTTCAAGATGAGACATAAATTTACCTTTAATGGAATCGAAATCTAATACAGGGCGATTACGTTAAATTAACAGATTTGTTTTCGGAATAACTTAAGAATGGCGAGTCGTTGACAAGATCAGATCGCAGTTATGGACTTGGGAGACCATGGGAATTTGTTTGACATCAAGTTCGAAACTGACCTTTCGGCAGGCCAAAAGTCCGTCCGAATTTCGCTTTGAGAACGGAAATCATTTTTTTCTGGCTTTAAAAAGAGCAAAATATTTCGCAAAATTTTACCAGATAATTTTGGCCTAGCGATTCATGGACTTTTGGCCTACCAAAAGGTCAGTTTCGAACTTGATGTCAAACAAATTCCATGTCTCCCAAGTCCATAACTGCGATCTGATTGTCAACGACTCGCCATTCTTAAGTTATTCGAAAACAAATCTGTTAATTTAACGTAATCGCCCTGTATATTGTACATATTGTATTGTATCTAAAAAGAAATTTAATTAAAAGAAGTATTGATTCAATTAGATTTGAATATTAATGACTATTGATGAGATTTCAACGATTTCCAATGATAACTTTTCCATTTATAAGTTTTATTTAGCTTGATTAATTAGAATTGATTCACTTAGCAATTGACTTAATGAAAGAATCAAGATTATCTTATAAATATTAACTATTCTGTGTTTTGAAATAATCTAATGACGAATATCCCAGTTCACAACAGTTCAATCACTATCACTCATATTTTTCGCCATGAGCAGAGTGACTAATTTCCCGTGTCAATAATAAGATCAAAACAGCTAAAGTTAATTTGAATCTGTTGAATATTTGACGGAGTAAATTCAGATGAAATCTGACCCTCTAAGCCCGATTTAGCCCTAAAAGAATTTTATTTAGAAAAATTGATAAAAACCCGTAGATAATCAAAAGAGCCAGAAATAAAAAGGCCAAAACTGTTTAAGCGAAATCGAGTCACTCCATTAGCTTTGAATAATTTGAGCTTTCTAACAATTAGGTATAAGATTTGATTGTATTTTTTGTTCATAATCAAAATCTAATGAATGGCTTACAGGTTTATTATTTATCAATGGTAAATGAGGCAATTCATGTAATCGTATCGAGATTGTTATTTTTGCTCAGCTTTTGCTTTTTGCTCTCTTGAGGTAGTACCTCAGAGGTACAATCTGATTTACATCTCATCCAGAATTTTCATGAGATGATTGGAAATAGATTTAGTTAACTTGAGAAAAGTTTTCCCAGAGCTGATGAAAAGTTTGGCGACATTGAATTGAAAACCATCAATGATCGAGAATCCAAACCAAAGACCCAAAATACTTCCGATATAAATAAGATAATCAACCAAAGGAAATGCTGGATAAGCGATGATATTATGTATGGGCTCCGTTGGTGCCATTAGATATATTATGCTTAAAGGTAAATTTCTTTTACTTTGTAAAAATTTTTTATAAAGCCGAGTTAGAGCTCGATCCTCGATCAAAGTTGTAATATAAGTATTATGTTCACATTCAGGATCTCGAACTTTTTCAAGGCATTCTCGATATACTTCCTTTTTAAATGTCAAATCAAAAGTGTAATTTGCATACTGATCATACATTTTCTCTTCGTGTAAAACATAACCAATTAAATGACCTGGATTATGTATCAATTGATACATAATCCATAATACATACATTAATGTATGTGCATTGATGCATTTTTGTAAAGTTGCAATTCTGTCATAATGACGACAATTAGTTTCGTATGGATATTCAAGCGACTTATGAGTAATCTTCTCATATTTGATGACATTAGAAGCTTTCCGCGAATTCAAAGTGACATAAGACTCAGCGGCAACGCTCGGCGCTAAATTACTATCACTGAATCGTATTCCAAAGGGAATTTCTAGTTTTAAATTGAGAAGAAAATATTTGCCAGCATCAGAGATTTCAATCTTATTCAGTTTCATTGTTTCGTTATTTTTCTTACACACAATTCTATAGAAGATGGCGTAAGCATTCAGGTAATATTGTTCTCGACACATTTTAAGTGCTGGTAAGTTGATAGGCTGATAAAGATTCCAATATAAAATGTATCCGAATTGAGAGTTAGGGGCAATGTCAATAACATCTCCTAACGTGATAAATTTCACCGAATATCTTTCAAAATTTATACGATCAAAAGTAGCATTTTCACAATTAATATCAATTGATTTATTGCTGTTTCTATCGTAACTATTTTCAGTTAGATTTAGCATTTCTTCTGGATACCAGTAACATAATTCCGTGAAATTAACAATCGTTGTAAGTGGAACTCGAAAATCGATTGCGGGTAACTCCACATACGTTGGATACTCGAATGAGACATCATTTCTAACTTTGAAACTAAAATATTCTTTCGTAATAATGTAAAATTGAATCAAACAACCAATTAAACAGATGAATTTAAAGGAAATTAATTTGTTATATTTCATCTTCAATACAAATCAAAATCAATGAAATGATAATTTCAATTTTCAGCAATAAATTTCTCAAATTATGTCAAAAGCCTTACTGACTACGGAGTCTATCATCTTAACTTACACTTTGTTTTCTAGGTATGATCTCTCTCTCTGTCTCTCTCTCTCTCTCTCACTCACTCTTTCTCTATCTATCTATTTCTTCTTTCCATGCTCTCTCAGTATTTCAAGCTGAATTATGAATTTATTGATGAGGGTATTAGTTTAATATCATTTAGTTTTTTGGATCAAATTTATAATTTATCAACCCAAGCAACTGCTAAAGTTCACGCAATAGTTTGAAGCCAAATCCATTGATTAGTCCATCGAATATCGAGAATCCAAACCAAAGACCCAATACACTTCCAGCATAAATCAGATATTCTATCAAAGGAAATGCAGAATATGCTATGATGCTATGAATCGGTTCTGTTGGCGCCAAAAGAGAGAAAATGTGGATATTCGAACTATCGTTACGTTTGATTGCTTCTTTTTTGAGAATTTCTAATTCTTTGGAATTCTCTTTAGTAGTTAGAGAATAAGTTATGCGTTCACATTCGGGTTTTGCTATTTGCTTTTCGCAGTGAAAGTATATTTTAGGAATAAACTCCGATACGAATGTTTTATTGGTATAATTTGGTGATTTCGTCCATTCATGTAGCACAGCAACCACACCATCCATTGATTAGCAAATAATCTGTGTTTTTTTCTTGTAAAAAGTTCAGTTGTACGTTGCCGATGAAGCTGTCGCGAGGCTTACGAGTGATCTCAATTAATGGTCACTTGCATCACCTTTCGCTCACTGGTTTGCATCGGTACAAGTCTTAACATCGGTCGTGGTGGTAAGATTGAGGCTCCAAGTTAGACAAGAATGAGTACCAATAATTTGATCCAATTACCTTTGATATTTATTCCAATACAATGATGTTTTCAATTTGTCAATCGATTAATTTATTGTACCTCACTTAGCATTGATTTTCTTTGTATCCAAATCAATACACATTCAATAAGTATTACAAAAGTAATTTTTTCCAATAAACATTCAAGTTATTGAAAAAAGTTAATGAGTTAATTGTTACAAAAAGAGACGGTAAATTGAAAACCAAGTTGTTAATAAGAAACCTTGAAAATCACAATCTTTTATCAGGTTAGACAAAATAGTTTCAATTGAAAGATTAACAGTTAATAATCAATCAAACTACTAATTTAATGGTGAGAGTGTAAATCCAATTCAATCAGATAAAATTGTAACAACAGCGAATAACCAAAATATTGGAAGAGCGAAAAAAAATCAATTCGAGTGTTAATTGTTGGCATGAAAAGATTAATCCTGAAGTAATGCTAATTTCCAGGGTTTACAGGTCAATTTTGGAGGAACAAATGATTCAGGATCTAAAAGTGATTAAAAAGAACACAATGATTAATAAATTGTTTTCGAATAGTAGGAGAGACAATTGATTAAGAATCGAAATTGAAGTTTACCTTTTAAACATCGAGATGCTAAACTTTGAGCTCTTTTGATTTTATTGATCGGCGTTTGATCGAGCGATTGAATAGATTCTTCGGGGTCAGGCCAGATTATTTTAACCTGAGTTTCGATAAAATCAAGAAGTGCCGATAAATCAGTTTGACACCAAGAAGCGTCTTCACATTTATCATAAAAAAATAACCAACGAATCAAAGATTTAGCTTCTTCCGTTAAGGCGATACAACTTTCAATCATTTCCTTTATCAATTTACGAAGAGCGAAATCTTCATTGGCACTTCCTTCCTTGAGGGAATATTTCTTCAAGTGTTTCTTATTCTTATGACGAGTCTTTCGAGTGGCTAATGAGATCACATCACCTTTGGATTTAGCTGATCGTGAGTTTGATGAGACTGATGAAGAATCAGAAATGGAAGATGTATCAGAAAATAGATCATGTTCGTCATCCACTAGATTGTCCTCGTTTTCTAAAGTTTTTTGTTTCGTCTCCTCGACAAACTTTAATCGATCAATTTTCGCTTCCAATTCAGATCGTTTTTCACTAACAACCGAAAGGAAAATAAACGCTTCTCTTGCTAATTCATCTTCCAAAGTACTTTTGATAACATTATAGATTTTAGTTCCACTTGGTTCCATTCCTAGTAGCCTGTTGGCCTCACCCCAATGGTGACCTTTAATTAGCGTATAAATGGCGGCGTGTTTATCTTTAAGGTAATTTTCTTGTATATAAGCAGCATCCAAGTGTTTATTATCGGTCAGTAATCGGGTAACAAATAATCGGCACAATGAGATACAATCGTAATCCTCTAATGAGAACGCAAGTTCAATTGCTATTTGCCAATTTTCCGATAACTGATAAGCTTTAATTGCATTGGTAATTGATTTAGCCTTTTGATAGGCAATACCGGCCTCTTCGTAGTATCGTTTAATCAACAGGTAGTCAGCAAACATTTCCCAAATACTTTGTATCCATGGATGAGTCGGTGATATGATTTTAACTGCTGACCAAAAGAGTTTGTTGTTCTTGATGAAATTTAAACATTCATCACGATGATCGTCACTGGTTAAACTGTTCATATTGACCAAAGCTTTTTCATTCCTTTTAAGATCAACGTCAATCTTAAATTGTCGATAATAGGGATTCTCGTAAGCTCGAAGTTTATTAAGATAGGCATGATATTCTTTCGGGTCTTTGTTGGATTTTGCAGCGACCATGAGAAAAATATCAAAATCATATGTTCCAAGAGCTTCTTTGTAAAGCTTTTCAATGTCGATTAGATAGTTAAGGTATCTAAGAGCTTCGTCTTGAACTTTTCCGGTTCCTTTGTCGAAAATCATCTTCAAAGCTTGACCAATTTGAGGTGGATCATCTTTGACGAAAGTCACCAGGATGGGGATGAAATAACGTTCTGGGTCCATTTGCGTCATTACTTTTCTCATTTCGGAGCAAACGAGAGCCAATTTGTTTGAACTTGAACACTCTTCAAGATAAGCATATTTATACATAGACCGAGTTATTTGCTCACTCGATAGTTCAGATAAAAAGAGACAAATATCTTGAACATCACTTCCTATTTGGCTGATTAAAGTTTCTACATTTTCTGTGAAATTTTTGAATTCATGATCAACCAATAGATTTAGATTAATTCGATGACGTTTCATCATATTAAATGCAATTCCAAATTGTTTATTAGACAAAAGTTGCTTCAAAAGGTCCAATAGTATAACTCGAGGATGAATTGATTCCAGATTCCCTCTGGGCATTTGAAGGATAACTCGAGCATCTTCTTGGATAGAAATTACAAGTTTTGATCTTCTCTCAATGCTTCGAGGTTCATCTCTTGGATCCAAGCCCGTTGGTAAAACTTCACTCATGAAATAATCGTCCAAATAATCATGTTATCATGTTGTCTTCGGCAATCATTTAATATACTTTTTTTCTTTCTCTCTCTCTCTTCTTCCATTAATTGTGATTAATCTTACAAATCATTTTGTTTCTTCTGATTTAACCTACAGTTCAATTAATTCATTGTTTTGATTCAGCTTTTTTCTTTATCATGATATTTTGTTTTCCACCAATAAACAGAAAATTTTTATCATGAATCCTCATGTTCATCATTTTTGATTGTCTCAATCTAGAAAAATAAAATATCTAATCAACCCAATTCAATCAGCAATAAATGTCATTCACAGTTTTTCAGTTAATCATTTCAAACAGATGACCATCATCAGTGGGATAATTAATGATGACCATTAATTAAAGTTATACAATAATAAATATTGTTAACTAACTTTCTCATATTAATTGTATCCAAACTTTGATAGTTGAATAAAAGTTGATGTGATCATGATTATTATTATTATTATTTCCTCAACGATTTGATAATAAGTTATTAATCATTTTGAAATCAAATATAATCAACTAACTTTCACCATGATGCTCAAGGGCAATCATGGTGATATTGAATAACCAATGGGGAGTTTTTCCTTTGCTTGGATTTGATTTTTATTACGATTAATAAATAATCACAATCATCTGCCCATTGAATTGACCATCAATTAGCCCTTAAGCTGAACCAGAACTAGATTATTGTATCATATCTGATTTATTGGAAAACCATGATACATGGGAGAGACTTTCAGGGCAATTCTAGATGACGGACAGATGATTACATTGTCTCTGATTCAGCAATAGATTCATAAATCCAATCATTTAACCTGAAGAGCAAAAAAAATCACAAAACCCACCAACCAATACAATCCAATGATTGAAACTAAATCAATTCCCACCCAAACCTTAATACCATTTTATCATGATGATGATAATGATGCTGAGACTAATAACCAAGGATAAAAGCTTTTAATTATAACCACAAGACATTCAGTTTATCCAATAAACACTTATTATCTTTCATGGTGGTTCTCTGGAATTTCTTGAAGAAAATTATCACTTCAGTGATAAATTGAATGGAAAGTTAAACTGGACAATCAAATTGACCAAAAATTCAGTTGATTTTAATCAAAGCACAAAAAGTTGGTGACAAAATTTGATGTTCAAAGTGATACATTGTTGATATATTTTCTGTTCTTATTTCATGATGATGATTTTCGTGGGGAATAATGAAAAATTACAGATAAAAACAGAATCGTAAACAATTGGAAGTGATAATAATAGTTTCTCAATTCAATTCTATTGCTCAATTGTTACATGATGTTCTTCATGAGTTTCAATGATCAGTATTGACACTTAACATGTTTGTATTACATGAATTTCAGTTGAACTTTAAACCATAACAATAGTTTTTCATCATTATGTTTCTGTTGAGAGAAACTCAATTTTCCCCATGAAATTGATGTTAGTTAAATCATCATCTATTATATTTGACTGATTATCTTTACCATTTATATGTTTATATACAACTTTGTATCTTTGTGTTGATGATGATTGTAGATAATAGTGAATGATTTTAGAATGAACTTTTTTATCCGAAAGTTCATTAGTCATTTACCAGTCGAATCTGTAAGAATAAAAGTTATTTTCTTTTTGATTTTTCGTTTTTTTTTTGATAAATCGAAACTTTTGTTTTCAGAACTCATCTTCCTGTTATCAAAATGTTTCACCTTTGTAATTTTTACTTGATTATCTTCATTATCATTACTCATCATCATGATCATGATCGTTTCATGAAGTTTCAAGTTTGAAATAATAAAGAAACAATGAAAATAACAGAAGAAAACTATTCTAAATCGAGAAAAAAAAAGTTTTTGCTCAACATTGTCTTCGTTCCAGTTTCATGAGTTTCATGGTATCACGCAATCAACAATTCTCTCTCTCTCTCTCTTCGATTATTATGGTTAGTGATGTTGTTTTTTAACAGAGAGATAATTGATGATGATTATTAGAAGATAAAAATTGTTAGTAGTAATCAACAAGAATTCATGAAGATGATACCGAGAATCAGAGAAACTGAGTGAAACCTTTATTATTCTACAACTCTGAGCTCTATTTATTGAACAAGAAGAATGTTACAAATAAGAGAAAGAAAAAATCAGGAAGATATTGGTTACTTGGTGAACATTTAATAGTATTTATCAGGGAAGATGAAAGAAAGAGAGAAAATAATTAGTGTTCAGATTGAGATACTCGGTGTAACTTAATGATAGTATGAAGAAAATTCAACTCCATGTTATCAGGGAATGAGAAACAATAATATCAACAACAGCATCGACCATTGATTGAATAAGCTAACACTTTACGAGCAATTTAATTTGACAAGGGTGTTGGTGGGAAGTGGGTGGAGAGATGAAGAGATGGAGAGAGAGAAATGATAACAAGGAGAACGAAAATTGTGAAAATGATTAAATCAAGTTCCATTCATTGAATGAACATTCTTAGGAATCGAAATTTTTTTTCTTCTAATGGTCAATGCTCAGTTCTTTACAATCCATGGTGATAATAATGATAACTAAGCTCATTGAGGTTCAGTTGATTGTTTCTTCATCCATGTAAATGTTGTTGATTCATCTCGATGATAATGATGATCAGTGGATCAATATTCTGATAGACTTGGGCAACTAATTTGCGTTTCTAATCCATGATAATCAGTTCCAAAAGACATGATGTCTAATAATATAATTCCAATGGTTTTTCCCCTCTGATATTTACAATCATAAACTGTTGACATGAATAAAGGTCAATGACAAGGTTATTCCATTATTATCATTTGATTGTTTACCTTAATCATAAAACAAAAAGGATAAGTTTGCCTTTTATTATTTCAAATGCTGATGATTTCTAAGCAATTAGAGGTTAACATGATAATGAACATTTGATAATATTAATAATGAATCAACTGACCAATAGTTAATGATTGTTTACACAATTATTTCATTGCTCAACATTAAGATAACTAAATTAACATGATTTTCCTGTTCCAAGTGTTGTAAAAGTCTAATTTATTATCATTCTCTGAACCAAATTGATTATCACATATTATTAGTGACAATTTGATTTCTCTTATGATTGCAAGGCAGAAAGTATTTCAATCATTTCATAGGATACATTGTAAGTAATTAAGACTAATTATCATGATGAAAACAACTATTAAGAAGCTGAATTAAAGAGGTAAGTTATTGGCTTATGATTTTTCACTCAGGTTTTTCTCAAAGATTCTGATTTTGATTCACTGAATCATATATTATATTGATATTATGTTGAGATTGATGGTCAGTGGGTTTCAATTTACGCTTACAGAGCAATTATCAACATCTCCCTGTGATTCATGTGGTTGAGAGAGAGAGAGAGAGAGAGAGAGAGAGTTATTGGGAGAGGATTTTCATCTTTCCTTGACCAGCGAGAGGAGCCAACATACTGGACAATAAGAAGTGGAGGAGGAGGAGGTAAAGGTGGGAGTGTAAGATGATAATGATGGTGGTTGATGTTTCATGGGATTCACTACATTTCCGATGATGATATTGAACCTGAAAGATGAACAGATTTCTTTGGTTTAAGAAAGTTAAACAAAGTGTAGGAGGAGGATCATAATCATTGAGAGTCAAATGTTGCAATTTATATAAGTATTGCATGGACACCCTTAAGCATGTTGATGGATACATAGCCATGAGTGACCAATCCATAAGTAACTGGACAGTATCTCAATGTAATCTATTATATTGGTTTTTACTTTCATAATGATATCAAATTAATTTGTTTCACTTGGTTTTTTTTCGTATCTGGGTTATAACATTTGTATACAAACAGTGTATTAAATTATCATCCAAATATGAGCTTGAGTGAAAGATGAGCAGGGAGAGAGAGATGGTCAGTTTTGTTGAAGATATTGAAGTTTTCCAGATAAACTTTGTAAATTATTTCAATGAATTAACATGAAGGTTAGTTTGGAGTTTTTTTTGTTCAAATGTTTCATGATGATCAGTCAATTGTGATCATATGGGTTGTGTATGATGTGGATGTTGATTGATAGATTGTATTGGTCAAGACGAATTTTCCATGAACATTTCATGTCATCATCTTCCTTCCATCTTCATCTTATTTTCATCTGAACAGTTCACGAGAATTGTTGTACTTTTATCATGGTCATTTTTTCTCTCTTTTCATGTTTGATTTTTCCATACACAAAAATTTCCGAATAAAATGATGAGAATGACTTTCAACTCGAATTCATGATTGAGATAATGCAAACAGAATGTTAAAAAAACGGATTGAGAGAGAGAGAGAGAAAGGAGTGATTGAGGTGAAAGTTTGTTTCTCTTTTTCGAAGGGAGAAAAAAAATCATTGGAGAACCAACAGAATCTCATGTAGATGGTGGAATCACTATGAGATTTATCATGATGATGATGGAGAAGAGAAGAGAAAAAAATATGATGAGAAGCAATATTTTTTTCGCTAACAAGGAAGTGTACATTAAGAACTATATATTCAACATCCGGGCGTTACCCAAATTATATCTTTCTTCATCTTCCTCATCATTTTTATCTTCATTCAGAATCATAGACTTTATCATCTCTCTCTCTCTTTCTTTCTTTCTTTCTCTGTAAATGACATCAACAGAAATTTTTTTCTCTGCCTTCTTCGAACCAGAGTTATATTTACTTTTCCATCTTCATACTGATGATTATGATGACGATAGATTCTTAATCATCATCATCAAATGACGCTTCATTAGTTGCCCAAATCATTTCCTCATCTTCAGTAAATTCAGGATAAAATATCATCTTCATCTTCTATCTCGCCTCACTCTCCAGATCAAATCCAGATTCTCATCTGTTCTAATTTTCTCTCCATCTTAAGTTATCATTTCATAGATATTTTTTTCTTGATAAGTTTGAAGCTACAAACTCATGAACATAAAAATCCTTCATTTC